AATGCAAGGGATCAAACCAATATGTCTATGTGACATATTTTGAGGAAGTATAAAACACGTTTTGGGGGAAATAAAATATGTTTTAATTGACTTTGAAATGTGAAGTAGAAATACACTCCACTTCTTGCTTTCTACTCAATATAGTTTCCAACTATACTATAAAGTGTTCTGTGGCTTTCAAACCTTTAAATTTGTAAATACTCATAAACTTTTGTGTATCAGCAATATTATTAGATTAAATTCATCAATTTATTACCAATCTTCATGATAAACGCCTATTAGTTCCTGAAGTTATCCCTTAAATGTCTCAGCTATTGCTAGCTTGAAAGTCCTTAAATGTATTTACTTAAAATCAACTTTCATCTATGTGGAGTTAAAGCTGAGGCTCTTGGCTTCATGATAAAGAAGTTTTTGAAAAAGATGAAGTGTCCTGGGGATTGGAGTGACTACCTGGCACATATTATAGTAAGACCAAAATGGAAAAAAGGCCTTAGAAAAATACAGCTCTAAGGAAATTGTACAGTATTTCTACTGAATCAATCATTTGCATGTTTTAGGTTTCTCAATAGCTGGCTTGCAATTTCTGTATCTTTTCTTTTGAATTGAGATGTAAAAAAGAAGAGGAGGTAACAGTATATGGACAATGATAAAGGATCCCGTTGATAATAAATATTTGTCAGATGTTGTCACATCTGCACAAATTCTGCTGTTGCCAAAGAGACATCACACTGATAAAAAAGAGTAGCTCTGGAGAAAAAATCAATGGGTTTTGGACGAAAGCATTGCTGTACACATAAGAAAACATCTCTATCCAGCCACCGTACTGCTGCTGTGAAAATTCCCAAGCCTTGCATGGTATAGCTAAGGAAAATTTAATCTTCCCAAATACTCATCAGAGCACTCCATCCTGCAGACCTGACAGCCCCACTTATAATTAATTATACAATTTCGATGGGAATATCGACTAAATAAAGCTATAAATCATAGAAAAAGTCAATAGGCATGGACACATTCAATCATGTCCTGGCCAATGATTACTACTCTTAAAATACAATAATTATTTTCAGGAGCCAGCTTGAATTAAATTTCTGTCAGCCTGGTACAGCCTGGTGGGTGATGAAGGATGCGATGGATTTTTTGGGGTTGAATTTGGCCAGGGACATTTATCCTTTTAGATAGGTAGTTTGTTTTTAGTGATCATGGTGCTGTGTGTTTAACTAGACCATGAAGATTAGATTATCTCCAATGGCTCATTATATCGTTTATCTTTTTCCTCCATGCTGGATCTGGAAGATTTCCTGCTTCCTGGTGTGTGAATGAAATGGCTACAGATTTTAAAATATAATGTTCTAAGGCGGCTCATCCATATAAAAATCTTTGCAGGAAAACATGTGAAGAAGCATGCATGGAAAATTAACTTCATGCTTAAAATGCTACCGGCATGGCCAAGAACTACTACAGGCAGAAACGATAATCTTTTAACGTTAAAAAAAAGAAGAAATTGAAATATTGCACAACTATAACTCAAACTGTTTTAAACATAAAATGTATATGCTATATCAAAAAAGGAAATGTTGACTTTCGTATTTATTTATAGATGTTCATAATTCTACTGAGTAAGGATATTAGTCCTACATAATGCTCATGAATTCTCCATTTGCTTCATGCAGCTGGAATTATCTACAGGAGCAATAGGCCAACAACTACTTTTTATTCTATTTAGGAGGCACCACAAACCCTGGAGGTATGAACTCTTATCAGATGGCTATTATATCCTTTATAAAGACATTAGAGGTGACAAAGAGAACTCTATGCGGCTGTAGTAACATGTGGCCTTTCACCATAAGTTAATGTAATATATAGATAGACTTAGCAATATATTAAATTCTAAGAAACATTCTGTGTATGGACATCTGATAGAATTATTTGAAAAAAGGGCTTCAAACTTCACTTTTTATTAAAGAGCAAGATTTTTTTTTTAAGTTGCAGAAGTTTCAAGGAACTGACTCATTAAAATTAAGATGATTTTTAAAGCAACTGTAACTTTTAAAAAATCAAGTACAAACTGTAATCTTTAATAGTTGTAAGTGCTGCTCTAAACTTCACACTATGGAGGTTGAACTGCTAATGTTTAGCACCTGAAGTTGTTTGACCCTCATCCTTCAAAATAAATTTGTAAATGTGGAAATCTGTATCAAACTATGATTGTTCTCTTCCTGTAGTTTCTAATAATATTTTTAAATGAGGAAATGGATATGATTTTACTTACACTTACTTAATTTAAACATTATGTGAATATGTTAACAAGCTGTGACTTTGGTGGAAAATACCATATTGTTGTTAAAATTATATTCTATCAAAACAATTACTAAGTTAATAGTTGATCCTACAAGTGCGAAACTATATCTAGAAGCTTGTTCAACTGTTAAACTTTCCATAAAAGTATACATAATACCCACATTCTTTTACACTATATAATACTATATACTAGGGGTGACATGATAGCAGTCTTCCAATATTTAAGCGGCTACCAAAAAGAAGAGGGGAGCCAAACTATTCTCCAAGGCGCTTGAAAGCAGGACAAGAAGCAATGGATGGAAACTAATCATGGAGAGAACCTACCTAGAACTAAGGAGAGATTTACTGATTAATTAGAACAATTAATCAGTAGAATGGCTTGCCTCCAAAAGTTGTGGGCACTCCCACACTGAATGTTTTAAAGAAAAGATTGGACAACCATTTGTCTGAAATAGTATATAATTTTCTCCTTGAACTAGAAGATCTCCAAGTCCTTTCCAACTCCATTATTATTTTTTGGTCTAATACAATTTCAAATTGTATTAGAATGTTAAAAGATTTGTGAGGCAAAAGATCAAGCAGGAAAGAATGCAACTGGGAACCATGTATTTATTTTAATTACAATTTATGGCTTTAAAATTAATAATCAGCACTGTGAATTCATCTATAAATATATTGGTAACCAGTGTAATTTTCTCCCTCCAAAAAGAAAGAGCATATTTCTGACTGTGCACTGCTGAAACAGTGAAAACACTTCCTAAAAGTAGCTCTGCAGAAATATAACTAGAGTATCAAGAATAACACTCACACCAGTTTTCTTAATAAAGCTTTGTAGTGGCTGAATCAATAGATAACAAACAGAATCAGAAAAACAATCCTCTGTTTCCATAAAAAATATCACACACGATGGACTAACGTGTCTCACTTTAGCTACACAATCTAGTAGAAAATACAGCATAAAAATGCAGGATAAACAATTTCAGCCTTGTCTGAATGCCCTTCAGAGCTTTGACCCAAGGTTACTGGACTTCAATACAGGCAGTCCTCGATTTAGGACCACAATTGAGTCCAAAATTTCAGTTGCTAAGTGAAACATTTGTTAAGTGAGTTTTGCCCCATTCTACGACTTTGCTTCCCATTGTTAAGTGAATCATTGCAGGAGCCAAGGTGGTGCAGTGGTTAAATGCAGCACTGCAGGCTACTGCTAGATCAGCAGGTCAGCGGTTCAAATCTCACCGGCTCAGGGTTGACTCAGCCTTCCATCCTTCCGAGGTGGGTAAAATGAGGACCCAGATTGTTGGGGGCAATATGCTGACTCTCTGTAAACCGCTTAGAGAGGCCTGAAAGGCCTATGAAGCGGTATATAAGTCTACTGCTATTGCTATTGCAATTGTTAAGTTAGTAGCACAACTGTTAAGTAAATCTGGCTTCCCCCATTGACTTTGCTTGTCAGAAAGTCGCAAAAGCTGATCATGTGAACCCAGGACATGCAACCATAATAAATATGAAACCAGTTGCCAAGCATTTGAATTTTGAGTATGTGACCATGGGGATGCTGTAGTGGTCATAAGTGGGATAAATGGTCATACGTCATTTTTTCCGTGCCGTTATAACTTTTGAACACTCATTAAATGAACTGTTGTAAGTCTGTACGTTTTAAATATTCAGAGCACAATGGGGGCACAATTGCAAAATAATGGATGTGTCAAAAGTGCCAGGTCTCTCAGAAATCAGAAAGGTTCCTTCTTATCACCTTCTATAACTCTCCAGGGTGCTCTTCACTCTTCCCAGCTTACTTTTCCTGGGCAAGAGGACCCATTTCCAGTGGTTGGATGTAGCCGCTATTTTTTTTTTAAAGAACACTTTGTGGGAAGTGCAAATTTTGCTGGAGGCTGGAATTTTGCTTCCTATTTACCAGTTTGTAAGCTACTGATTCATTTTTTTTAAATGTAAGAGAACAAGATATTTTTATTTCAAAGCCAAGTGAACCTAGCTGAGCCTAGTGGTTTCAACTGAGTTGTTGGAAGAAGTCTGTGGATTCAATTTTAGTAGAAATAAGTCTGGTTAAAAACAACAGGGATCCTCCATCAAGGAAATTCAAGACAGTTCTGACATTAAAACCAGAAATATTTTGTTAAGTCTCAGGAAAAAAAAAAAAATTAAGCAGCTGTGCCTTTAAACTACTCAAAAGTGACCTGGAAAAGAAAGATCATATTTTAAGGAACATATACAGTTTTAAAGACAGAAATGTTTCAAGTATGACCACGGGCTTATGTATTTTGCACTTTTTGCCTAGGCCCAAAAATCCTGAATCATCTACAATTCAGACTTACTATACTACCTATGTATTATATGCACTTTCAAGAGCTTTAGAACTGAGGATAGCTGAACAGTGAGACTGTGGAAAACTTGTAAATGCAGTTGTATAATCCAATGGTTTAAAATATTTTAGTTTGCCTTTTAACATATTGTGGTTTGCATTTTAATATATTGCAAGATGCATTGTCTTGATGTCATTTTTCATAAAGAGAAGCATAGACATGTAAAAATTTAACTACACTAATAAAAGGCGTTCTCATTAAATAAAAGATTACCATGTGAAGGATAAACAGGATATGAATCTATTGCATTTCTTGGAGCCCCAGGTATCTTAAGAGCAAGGGTTATATCTACAAAATGTAATTTTACAACTGGAAACTCACCGCAGTGCCATTGTTATCTCTAAAAACATCTTGATTAAAATATTCAAAGAGTTTCTTTTCTAACTGTAGCATAACCTAGAGGGGAAAAAATGAAGCAAAGCTTAAAAACTAAAACATAACAACAATCTTCAGTGCAATTCTATATAATCCTTATGCAAACCTTTGCAATTTCATTTTTAAACTTTCATTACCTTCTCTATTAAATTAATCCTTTTCTGACTTAAAGAAAAAGAAATACACAGTCTTAAATAGGCTGCATATATTGCTTTAAAAGATGTGAAGTTATTATTCACATCCTATTTCCTGTAAACAGGAGAAACACTGAAGCATACAATAACAAGATTATTTTAAGAATTAACTGATTGATTGACTGATTATGTCCCATCAAGTTAGTGTCAACTCTTAGTGATCACAACAATAGATTTTCTCCATGATGATCTGTTTAGCGTACTCATTTCCACTATAACTAAGTCTATCTATCTTGCTGCTGATCATCCTTTTCTTCAATTTCCTTCCACATTTCCTAGCTCCATCTCCAGAGAGATCTAGGCCTTCACCTAATGTGTCTGGAAGACTATAATTTGAGCTTGATTGTTGTGTTTCAAGTGATAAATCTGGGTTCATTTGTTCAGTGATCCATTAGCTGTTTTCTTGGCTATCCATTGAATTCTCAAGAGTTTTCTCCAGCTACTTTCCTAGAAAACTGGAAAACCTTTATGGACTTTTGGCTGAAAATAGATAAAAATGAACTGTTTATTTTAGAATTTATTGATTAAAAAGGCTTATCTATGGGAAGAATAGAGCCATGACAGGCAACATGGGAGGGTGGAGATAGTAACTTCTGTGTTTGTAGCTGCTGCAAAGAAGAGCAGAAGTCGCTTCTGTAGCTACAATATCTTTGTTGTTCTTATCAATCAACCAAAATTTAAGACTCGCCTTCAATATCAACATTCAAAAGCATCAATATTCTTCTTATTCTGCTTTTTCAAAGTCCAATGTTTGCTTCCATAGAGTGTCACAGGGAATACCATAGCTTGCATTATACTTATTTAAAGGTATACACACATTATAATATCTGAATATCTTTCCCGGTGCCTTCGGAGTTGCTGTATCAAGTGCCAACCTATGGCCTATTTCTTGACTACTTCTTCCTTTACAATTGATAATGGCAGAAGCGATCTATGTCTTTCGTGTCTTCATTGTCAGTTCTAAGGCTGGTTTTTGGCTACTGATATTTCTTCTTCCAGTTTTAAAACCACATTCATCTTCTTCCAATCCAGCTTCCTTTAATATCTATTCAGCATGAGTTGAATAAATAAGGGAGGAGTATACAACCTTCTTTTATTCCTTTGTCAACAGAAGCTGTTCTGTTTCACTATGTTCTATCACTTTGTTACTGACATTTATAGGGCTTCCCTGTAAGAGGATTGCAAATATTTCTCAACATGAATTAAGAAAACTGATTTGAAAAGTCAGGTCCTTAGACAGGTACAGGTCAACCTCATTCCTGCTGCACATATTTTATGAAACATGCAAGTCTTAGGCATTGATCTAAGCCAGGGGTGTCAAACTCAATTTCACTGAGGGCCGCACTGTGTTTGACCTCAGGGGCCATGGCCGGCTCGATGCACTCGTGTCGTGGGGGCACCTGTGGCAGCCAAATGCTAAGGCGGGACTTCCTCCAGACCTTCCCTCTCTCTCATTACAATCTCCCTCCCTCCCTCCTTCCTTTCCCCCCTTCTCTTTTCCTTCTCCTTTCTTCTTTCTTCCCCTCTTTTCTTCTTTTTCCTTCCTTGGTCTCTTCCCATCTTCTCATCTTTTTCTTTGTTCTTCCCCTTTCCCTTTCTCCTTTCCTGTCCCTCCTTGGATGCTCAAATGCAAAAGGGGAAACATTTCTTCTTTTGTTTTGTTCTTAGTTCATTTTGCTAGCCCTCTGCCAGTGAAAACGGGCTCCGTTTTCACTGGCAGAGGCTCCACGGGCCGGTCCTTCGCTGTTGCCAGGGTGGCCCCACGGGCCAGATCTAAGCACCTTTTGGGCTGGATCCAGCCCACGGGCCTTGAGTGTGACTTAAGCTGTGCTGAAACCCATCTCCCCAAATCAGAATCTCTACATGGACAAAATTTTATGTATGGAGGGCAGCCAAATAAGTGAAAAATCTTCATCAGGACTTACAACAGTACAGTCAAAGAAGATTTGATCAGTTCAGAAAGACCCAGGACTTATAAGTGAAGCTTTTTTTTTTTGTTAAAGTGACATTGTTTTTTTTAAAATCACATTTACTAGATTAGAAAAAAAGCTGCTGTGGGAGCAGTGGTATGGGAGATTAATATGCACGTTATTTTAATTGCAAAGCAATGAAATGGGAACATCGCATATAGCTTGAATGAGTGACAGATTTTCTCTGAATGGTATCTAGTTTGAGAAATTATGTTGTTTCCCAAGTGAGATTCTTGCTCTCTCTCTCTTTTTTAAAAGTATATAATTTTGCTTGCAGCATATTTCCCGCGCTCTGTCACTGAGAATTGGCGCACAAAGTTTTCTCCTTTGTTTGCCCTCGGTTTTAGGTAGCTTAAGGCACACCTTTGCTTTCCTCTCCAACACCTCCAAACTTTGCTTTTCTCATTGGCTCATTCTAGCTACCCAGAGGAACAGCTGCAAGAAAGAGTGCAGACTTCTTGAAGATTTACCATGGTGGACTCAGTTAAGGGGTAAGTACACTTATAATCTCAGTACAAGTGCAGCTCTCACATAACTCATTGGGCTCACAACTGGATACACATTAGTTAATATTTTGTCCTAAGTTGCCTCCACTGAAGCAAAGACGGATTTTGTTCTTGGAATTTTGAAAAAAGAAAGGTGGATTGCTTGTTTGCATTCTCTTCAGTGTCAAGAATTACATTTGGTTACATACCTTTCGGTCATTATCAGATTCACGGAATATTAGTTTGACTACTTCATTAGTGTCAGCAGCCCGGATGGTCTGCAGTGTAGCCTTTGCACAAAGTGTCTGTTTAAAAAGAAAGAAAAGCAAATGGGATAGGGGAGAAATAAATACGTTTGTCAAAAATATATTACAAAGATTCTTAAAGAGGTTAAAAACTTTGTTCAAAAAACTTAAAACATAAATATACAAGCATATACTTTTAATTTCTCCTCAATTATTGATATGAAGAATGCCATTCTTTAGTCTACTTCGGTCTTCCTCAAAATTGGACAGCAGTTTGAAAATTTAAGGATTTGTTATGGATAGTACCATATAAAATTGTTAAGCCCCATAACTGAATTCATTTACTTCTATTATTTTTTTCTTAAAAGTATACTAAAATGTTGTGAAGTTTGTATGAAGACTATTTTTGTATTTTTTATTTCCAATGGTTTTGGGTTCCAAAAAGAGGAACGGAGGAAGACATCTGCAATCTCTTTTTGTACTAGGAGCAGAATCCCCAAGTGAGAAGCATTATATTATGCATGTTAGTTCAATAGCAAGACCCTCTTGGCATATCTTTTCAACTAGTTGCTCCATACAAGAACTCCTGATGCCCTAGAAATTTCAACCTTTTAAAATTAGATACTGTTTTGAGGTTTATTGAATTCTTCTTGGATTTGGACAGTAGAGATGCTAAGTATTTGTTAATTTGACTTTAAGAAACACTTTGAGATAATGCTTAATAAACTTTGTTCTGATGAGGAGTAAATTGCCCATTTTACTCTTTTATCCTAATAATGCTAAGAGAAACTGTTTGACTACTCAAACTATTTAGCTCAGTGCTTCCTCTTCTGCCTGGATATGGTTCTCTAACTTCTCATTCATGTATTCCTGGAGTTAAAACTAAGCTTTGTCTCTGGGATTTTCTATGCATAATCCATTTAATTCTGAATCTTTCTTTTTGGCCTAGATGATATCCTTAAAAACTTATTTCTATTTATATGACTAGAAGTGTGCCAGAGCAATGGAGTTCCTCACTTTGATAATACACCGAGAATCAAAGACAGAGAAAGAAATTTCATTTCTGTTATTAATTTTATTTCGCTTTACGAACCGTCAACATGACAATCTGGCTAAAAGTCTTCTCTCTTTCAAAACTCCCTTCAGAATTTTTCTAAATTCTGACCATGCAAAATTGAGGTTAGAGAGACCATAACTCTGTCACAGCAGCTGCTGAGAGAACCGGAGGTTGTTCCAACTCCAAGTATTCCTTGTCCGGCAGAGAAGCAACAGGAAAAGTGGTGCCACGCGAAGACTCTGGGAGCAACCTCTGCTTTTTTGCTTTGTCCTTTTTTACTTTCTTTCATTTAGCCAATCACAACTAATCACTTTTTCCACTCATCCTCACAATTTGATTTGGGTCACTTTCTGTCTCTTTTGACAAGTAATTAACATTTTGCCATCTGTGTCTGCATGGCGTTAACTGTGAGGTCGTCCACCAACAGGCCATTCCCAAAGTGCCTCTCCTTCAGATACCAACCATTGAAATTCAAAGCACAAATTAGCTAATCAGGTCAAGCCCCCCGAAATAGCCCTTTGGACTCATGTGTCACAAATCAGTCTGGCCGCCTTTAAACGGGGCACCAGATTAGGACAAGCAACCAAACACGCCAAAGCGGAAAACCCACCGCTCTCCAAAGCTGGTTTTCTAAAGCCCTAACAAATCGCTCCATCTTTCACTCATTTAAACCTTCCAAATGAGGGTCAATATGCTCCCCAAGCATCCAAATGCTAATGCGCTTAAGTGCGCTTAAGCGGCTTTCTGGAATGAATGGGCCGAAGAGCGGCTCGAAAGGACAAGGCAGAATTACTGTCACTGTCAAAAAGACATTGTAGCCACCCCTGGAGTGGCTGCAATTCAAGAAATTCATGATTTCTGTCTCTTAAAGGCATCTGCTTGGGAACGTTTCCCCCCCCCCTCCACATTTTGTCCAAATCTGCTTCATAGCTCTTACGAGTTCAGGTCTGTCCTTAAGGAACCGTAATCATAATAATATGAAAGTGTAAAAACCGGGCTCTCTCTTGACCACTAAAGAGAGAAACAAAAAGAAAGCACTATGATTGCATGGAGACAAACACTTGTCTTATTCACAAGCAAAAAGTGATTATGCAAAGGTTCATTTCTTATACAATCTGGAACATTCATCCTCCCCAGCCTCCTACCTCTTTTCAGTGTCTGCAAAGTGGTAGTCACCCAAGCAGAAACTTTTGGAAACTTGTGTGTATGTGTGTGTGTGTGTGTTTTAAAGGAAAGCCCGCTTGCTTATGAAGGGATTTTTGTAGTTGGGTGATAGTGGTAGTATTTAAGAATGGGAGAAAATTGAAAATGCACAGCCCTTTTCATTCTTATGAAAGTTACATTTATGAAGGATGCTTGAAATAAAAGACAAAATCAGAATAAAAGTCTTGGGTTTTCTTGCATGATTGAAGAAAATCACCTTACCCAGAGATTATTTTCTAACATTTCTTTATAAGGGAAAAAAAAGTTTGCATAAAATCTGCCCCAAAGGCTGTGAATCTCAAATAATAATAATAATAAAGTGAAGCAAACAGTTGAAGGAGAAAAACATGCACTGGCTGATTATTTAAAAGAAAGTCAAGAACATCTATTAATCGAAGTAAAGAACAAAAATCTACTGAAGGCCCAACAGACGNATGTGCCAACATGGTTCTCTTAATAAATTGGAACTTTGAGCAATACTTTGCCTTGGACTCTGATTTAATTTTGGATGCTATTTGGAACCCTGACAACAATATTATTTTACTCTGTTTCATCTGTTGTTAATTTGCTGAATTCTAGTCAGTCTAGAGACCATAATAAAATACTATTACTGTTGCTAATATAAATTTATATATTTGTGTTTATACGCCTATGACAATCTTCAGCAAAATTTTCTAAACTTTGATTAGTGAATATCAATTGTAATTGGCATAACACTGAATAGCATCAGAACAATTATATTGGAGAAAATTGTAGCTTGGTACACAGTTCAAATAGTGGCTTTTGAAGCATATTTTTAAAAAATGGACAGAAAAATATGATATTTAGAGGAAGGAAGATTGCTTGTAAAATGTAAAAAATGCAAACAGAATAAACAATGTTTCATAGAACACAATGGTAAAAGATACTCATTAAGAATTCCAATGAGCATGGAAAGTTAAATAGAAGCATTGTCTTCCTGGATGAATTCAAAATATCTACAGTCTATGCATCCAGCTTCTTGGTATGAACCTTTTTTGTTCTCTTGATGACAATATTCAAAAATTGACAGAACTAAGGCTGGTAGTACTGAAAATGTTAACTAATAGAGCTTTCAGCTAGTTTCAACATTTTTAATATACTATGGGTAGCTGCTTGTATAATTGTATGTAGTATATAAGCTATTGATAGTGATGCAATACAGATGACAGATAGCGAGAATACAAATGTACCAGCAGCTGTTGGAGTCTTCCAAATTTTCAAGTAGTAACAAGATGGGTTTTTTTGCAGATGCTGAAAGCAAAATTGCTTAAAGATATTTAGTGTCAGCTGTAGAAGAGGTGTTATTAACATTTTCTGCTTTTATTGTTATGTTGTAGTTTTAATTACTAGCTGAGGCAAAAGCATCTGAATTCTAAAGAAAAAGGGAAGAAAACACTTTGAAGTTCGGTTCAATAGATGCTACGAATTAGCTGGAGTCTAAAAACGTTAAAAGCTTTTCTCTAGAAATGTTGTTTCCACGTAATCCCTGTGTGGTCTTTTGATTTTGTCCCTTTAACCCTGTTTGGAGGAGGGGGGGGTCTATCAGTGAGCTATGATGCATGGATACCTCCTTTCAGAAAGGTTATTTGAATAGCTACATCAATGAAGTTCTGGACTAGCTAAATTAAAAATTAAGCAATTACCGGTTCTTGGATCAGGCAAGGATTGTAATGGTAATTCAATGTGAAAGTTTTGATTTGTTAACAAAACAATGCATTTTGTAATAAAACAGCAAGTCCAAAAACAGTATGTGCAATAGATTATTTAAAGGAATCCCAACTTTTTAAAAATAGAAAAAATACAATTTTATTAGCAAAACTCTTCTAGGATCTAGTGATTAAGCAACATAGAGTTAGTTTAACATAAGGAAATCACACACTCACAAAGAAGGATTGAGAAAGAATTAAAAGAACTCCTGCACCACCACGGATTTCTCTTAGCCACTAGATGAACAGGGCTGAAGTTACATTCTTAATCCCATTTCTTTTTGTTTTACATTGTCACTTCTTAGTGGCCCATCACTACTGCATTCTACTTTTTGTATTTCCTTTGATGTAGCCAACTCCAAGTGGAATGAATAGCAAATAAGATAGTGAAGAACTTTGAAAATAATATCTCTCAAAGGAAGTTAATAGACAATGAAATAACAACTGGGATTCACAAAGGATGTAGACGTCACGATGGAAAGCTTAAAGTCTTAAGAATTCAATGTCAGGAAAATTTAATATAATTGTTAAGAAAAGTTTTTAACATAAATGATCAATATCGTATTACTATGCTGATGCTGCCATATTGACAACTTTTTCCATCTGAAAAATGAATGTATTGAATGAGTGGGAAAGATGCAAGAAGAAAGAATGTAATGAATAACAAGAGCACATTTTCTATAGGGAAAGAAAACATGCTTTAGTAGGAAATACACTACTTGAAAACTTTTCTTTTCCTCTATTGTATATCATGGAAATTAATCATAGTATGGAGAAAGTGAAAACTCTCACCCCCCCTCCTCCTCCGTATAAAAACAAATGCTTGAAAGGCAGAAAAAGGTTACTTCCTCATACCACAACTACATTTACGTGTTGTAGAAAGTCATACATAACATGAGAGCCCGTGTGTTGTAATGGTTAGAAGGTTGGACGAGAAGTGGGGTTCTAATCTATTTTCAGCCCCAGCTTATCTCATAGCTTGGGAACAATAGAAGAAGGTAATGCTATTTATATAACTTCGAATTCCTAAACAAAAGGTGGGATATAAGTGCAATGAAAAATAAACATGAAGG